TAGGAACACAGATGACACAGATCAAATTTTCAATTCTAGCAGAATCAATTTCCATCGATCCAAGAAAGGCTGTAAATCGTTGCCACACGAAAGCAAAATTTACCCTTCATTTTATTTTATTTTATCTTTTTCAGTATGTATATGAGTTAATAAATTTCAGACATGTCATGCTGCTTTCACATAAAGTTTTTTGTTGGGTACTTGTTGATATTGACTAGGACAAGAGAGGAAAGTTTATTTATCACGCGAGTAATAAACAGCATATAGTAAGTAGCTAATCGAGTGATAAATCAAATTGGACGTTGAAGAGGTGGTAGTGTGGTGGGGGTGATATAATAGATAGATGGTGTGGCTCTATATAGAGTTTTGATGATTAAGGTGGCGACTCTTTTGTCTCCACTCTGTCACTATGGAGAGGTCCATGGCAGCCACTATCACAAAGCGTAAATAAAGAACGCCACGACACCCACGCTTGACGCTCCCCCTCCCAACTAGCTAGCTCCTATAACCCCTCTTTCTCATTCTTTTTATGGCATCCAAAGAGGGAATTCTGGTACACGACAAAAAGCTCACATTTTAAATTAGAAAATATATGCAAATACAAATAGGTGAACCTTCGAAGTTTGAACCCGATTGATTTTACATTGTGCAACATTGCATGTATTCTTGATACGTGTACACGGCTATGGTTTGTGAATTTCTATATGACAAAAGGGACTAGCTAGATCACCGAGTATAATTATATGTGCATGCCACCATTGTTAATTATTAATACAACTACATCATTTATTAGCCAGAATCAAAATGATCATATGGTTGGGACTTGTGAGCATGGTTTTCATTATTTTCAGAAGTGGCATGTATATACATATTACAAGGAGTTAATCAATTTACGTATAAAAAATTGAGTTCTGGCGCCATCATTTTTGTTATCCAGGCTTCCTTTTTTGTTGCTTTTCTTTCTCACTTTTCTTTATACTATCTGTCTTTAATTCTTTTTAAAAATCTGCTGTAGAATGGGGACAATGAGTGCCACAAGGACTTGAGCTTAGTGCTGTGTCTTGCATTCAGCATCAAAATCTATATAGAAACCATATCTGAGAACTCAGAATCATTCCAGCTTTTGAACCTTTTATCTCTCAGGGGACCTATATTAATAGACCTTTTTGCCTCTACCCCACGAGCATATTGCTAATTTTACAACTAATAAAGAAGTATATGAAATTTTCAATGGCGGTCCTCTATCCTTGTCATATGGACACCTAAAGTGGGAAAATTCCTTAACAAAAAAAGTTGGTAAAGAGTTGGATTCTACATCCTGCACACCCCTCCCCAAGCCCTACCATTTATTGAGAGGGAAAAAGAATTTTTGGCTTTTGGGTTATATACTTAGGATTCCTCATTCCTCTCACTTTAAAGGTCATTTTGTTTACACATAAAGAGAGTGCGTGGGGGAGGTTTTTTCTTTTTTATGAGATAAGGAAGTAAGAGATGTAAAGTGCCATGCATAGTTTAGCATACACATTTAAGACAAAAATATGATAAAATCATTTGTGTCACAATTGGTCCCCTTGCCATATGGGGGGGGGGGGGGGGAGTGGACATGTCATCCCCTCATAGGACTAAACAATGTTAACTACTGTTTAACTTGCAGATTTGGTGAGCATAATTACTTTGGTCATTCCTTTCCATGCATGCCATAATAATGGGTAAATTATAAGCTCTAGAAAGTGATCATCAATAACCCAAATTCCCATATATACTATTATTCGGCCCTCATGATGGATGGAGGATATTGGTGAGAACTATGGCATGACAAAATCCAACTCACTTAGTTCTCCAATTTTTGAGACGGCTTCACATCTCCTCGTGCCCCAATCTGCGGGTATGACAGGCTGACACCCTCCTTGGCACATATACTCAAAGGGCCCTTAACCCGTTAATTATGTCTTTCATATGTATCCTCTAAAAAATACTAAAGGAGAATATTATTTTTACCGATTTAATTCATATCTAAACGAAGAGAAGTGTGAAATAAGAATGTAAAAATTTATTTTTAGTTAATTTGAAGTCAGTTTATAAAATATTTGAATTTAATCAAGGGTGGATAGATATTAATTCTAACTTACAGTTTTTTTCACGTTAAATAAACTAAATTTTTATTTTTACTATTCTATTTTTATACTGAAATGAAAATTTGTATCGTTAATATAACAAAGTGTTTCATGATTATAATTCACTGAATAATATAGACTTGATTTATCATTACTCATTTATTTAACTTAACTCACTTTGAAATAACTATTAACGCCACAGCTTCTACGAAAAAATAAGAAAAAAGATTTTCACCACAAGTTTCGGCACATGTGCAAAAGTATGTGATTGGTAAGAGGATCAGAATTTGTTCTGACATAAAAAAAAATGTTAAATGGTATGATTTTTTATACACGGCACTAAAACGGATGAATTTTATACGATTCAGAATAAAAAAATAATTTAAAAGGCCTAATTATTCATCAATTATGTCGATTTTCACTTGTTAGAGCGTTTTTTCTCGTCATACTTCAACATAGTGTCGAGGTTGTTAGCTTTGCAAATAAAGCAATGGGTTAACGAAATCAATACTCTTCTCCACGTGCATTACTTTTTTATAAAAGGTTTAGGAAAGGCCAAGGTTTATGTCTTGTGATAATCAACGTTTTAATGGTATTTTCTTTCCATCCATGGCCTGTAATATCTGTCCCATTAACATAATAATTACGAAGCAGGCTTTTGATTAATGCCAGGATTTTTGTCGCACAGTGGATTCCTAGATTTATCATTGTGTTGATTATGGGAAAGAATATTATTTCTAAATTATCTTATCCTTTTATTTGTATAATTTTTTATTATTAAATGTGTTTTATAGTTTAAAAACAATAATATGTGTATTTTTATTTAATAATTATTTTATAAATTAGTAAAAAAATTATTAAAAGGATAAATAAATAAAGAAAATATAGCAAAGCTTTTGCAAGAAAAGATCTTGTTAATGTATGAATAAAGTTTAGCTGTAGTATTAAAGCTTTTGCGAGACAGTGTGTCAACCTTTAATGTTGATATACCCAATGTTCATTATGCAAATTATTAAAATGAGAATTTAATTTTAATTGGAGAACAATATTAAAAGTACTTAGGATATGATTTTATCTGTAATGAATATAATAAGTTATGTTAAAAGTGTTTCTTTTGTTTGACTATAAAGAGAAATATAAATATAAAACTTTAGCGTAAAGATAATCCATTTCTGTCATAATTTACCAGCTGCCCTGCAATTTTTCGATCTTAATAATCATTCAGTGGGGAAGATGGTTGATCTAATTAATTAGCACTTAATCCAAATTTTTATGGCTCCCACCAAGTTGACCCATTGCAATATTGCGTTAATTGGTTAAGCAAACTGCCGCTACTTTTAATAAATTGGCACATCTTAATAATTTGACAGGTGGAACATAAGACGGTTGAATGGGGGATCCACATTGGTGGAATTTTCCTGAAACCATTCATAAAGCAGGAATAGTATAGCATGAACTATGTAAGAAAAAGACCATGCCTCTTCTCTCAATGAGGATGAACCAGATATTTTAGTTCAAGGATGAATTTCCATCTGATTCATAAAAGGCAAAAAATAATTCAGGTGAAAAGGAAAATTCCTGCTGTATGCAATTTAATAAATCAATATGGTGGTCCAATTGCTGGTCCTTGATCCATGCAATAATCAATTATACAAAGCAAGCATCCAAGAGAAATGAGAGAAATAGGTACTGAGCTTATATTGTCACTACGTTGCCATATTTTTCTTCACTATGGTCCATCTGTGCAGTGGCATCGTTTGATGAACATGGGTATAGACAGAAGTGCATGGATGAGATGGAGAGAATAGGATGTTTATCCAATGAGTGGCCATATGGGTGTCATGCAAAGGAAGTGATAAGATTGCGAGACAAATGCCTAACATGCATGGTTACTTTTTCTGCGAAGACATGGGAATAAAGCCATGGTGGTCTGTGTGCAAGCGTTACTGCATGCAAAAATAATATACCTTATGTCGGGGATATGGGGCTAAATGACAAGCTCTCTCTGAGTCGGGCCTTTTAGTAGTAGAGAAGAAATTATGTACTAAAGTAGCTTTTTTAAGATCTATTGCTTTTATTTATTGATTGGTTTTATTTTTTGTGCTTTCAATTTGTAAGCTTCAATATGTGCTAGTAATTAATACTGATATAATCTTCAAAGTAATAAAGGAGTTTGCCTGTTGGTTAAAAAAACTAGCTCTTTTGGTAGTTGCCACCACCCTTCTTCCACTTCTTTATGAAACAATTTATTGGCCAAGAGGTATTTGATGTAAAAATTGAGATATTTAGGTGCCCAAATTAAATGATCCTCACATGAACATCTATGTCCGAGTGAATGAATACATGAATGTGAGGCAAGGACTGTCTGAAAATTCAGAGGGCTAGTGGCTGATATGTATAATAATACCATGATAGAACAGCCTGGAGATGGTCACGAGCAGGCACTGGTTAAATGAGGAGTCGTAGTCACTGATTGAACCGTCTTTATTGCTAGCGGGGCCAAGTAGTGCATCTACTTCAGAGTGATGCCTCACTAGATTCCAGAGAGGGTCTTAAAGTTTCTTTTCATTCAGTAATAAGAACAAATGGCGAATCTGGTGTCTATTGGTGAATCATGTGTCATGTTCTTGGGTGGATTAAGCTCATAAGTGAACCGGACAATTTAAATTGTATTTAAGCATTTGAATCTTATATAAGATTTTGAGTCACACTCCACATCGTATGATTCATTCTAAGAGTTAATGAAGTTTCCTAGACATAAAACGAAAGAAAATAAAATGTGGATGGAAGAACTTATAATATAAATAGTGTTATTATTAATGAATTCAATACAAAGCACGCATGAAGAGGCCCCAAAGACCTCTTCTTCCATTTCTTAACTATAAAAAGAGAGTTCTCCTCACTTGAAAACAAATGAAAAAATCCAGAAAAATTAAAACTATAGACACGTGTTTCCATCACGCGTGGACACCAAACAATGTGTCCTGTATAGTTAGGCCAAAGCTCTAGGCCAAAAACGAAAGTAAGAGAAAATTCCCGCCACAACTACAACAGAGAAATCACACAGACCCACGTGCAAGACACGCACCAGAGGCGTCTTCACGCGTATCATTGGAAAAAAGTCACAAAATGTAGCCAGCTTCAACTTGTTGCTATTTCCTTTTTGTACTCTTGTGTATCCCATCAAACCATCAAAGTAACGTGAAAGCTGAAGGCGAGAAGATGCTGGCCAAGATGAGAAGCTTGACTTAGAGATCATATTATAAGAAACAGCTCACAGAGTTCAATGAGTTCAATATCCTAAGGTTTGCCTGACCCAATTGATATCTGCTCTGCGACTCTGCTTCTTTTTTTTGTCCAAGCTCTTAAGCACTGCCCCACCATCTTCTTCCCTTTCACCTATAACCAGCGCATCTTTGAATTCCAAATTCCCCACTTTTTTCTTCCACACTTACACGACAAAACCACATTAAATGCATCCCTCTCTTTCTCTCTCTTTCCCACAACAACATATTTATGTTGCAAAATCCCCCTCCATAGGGAATGTGCAAAGCCATTGATGAATGGCAATACCCACCAACAAAATCATAATAACAATAACAAAAGCTCACGACTCTCATAAAATATAGTATATATTATAATGTACACCATGACACTTGCCAATTTTAAACTCAAAAACCCTCTAAAAAATGTTGAGGTTTCTGCACAACTTGGACCACCACCTTATTCCTTTCTTTTGTGCCCCTTTATTACTGATCTTTTTGCTCTTCACAGGGAGTTTCCATTGTCATCATCTACCCACAAACAGTTATTTAATTTCCTCCTTTTACAAGAAACAGGGGGAGAAGAAGAAGACGAAGAAGAAGAGGAAGTTGAGAATGACGAGACACGTGACCTCATAAGGGGACGAGTTGTCACTCGCAGCTGTGGTAACACTTTAGGGAGTTTCCTCTGGTTGTGGTCAATCACAAGTTCTTGCATTAATTGGTAGCACCCCGTAATTTTGTCCTGCAATAATCAGATAGATGTATTTTGGCAACCTGATGTTTTCACTTAAAAACATATAGCAACACTTTGAACATGCTTACTTTTCTTAGCCCGTCGCACCACGCCTCGGCATGCTCAGGCTTAACGAGAGACCAATTAGGAATTTCGTTAGCTGCATGGAGAATGGCCGCGGCAGCAATGCATGATGGCCAATACGCAACAAAACTGGCCTCTGAGAGACGGAAAAAATTGACAGGAAAAAAGTTAAAAACACATATTGCATAACTTCACTACTTTCCAGTATCTTTTTAATGCGACTTATACGAATTAATATCTGTTCTCCCACTTAACCATATGGCGACTTCAAAATGCCCACAGAAGACAAGAGTATACCTTGGATATTAGATAAGATAATTTGTGTAGCCCGTGAAATGAGGAACCCAGTAAAAGTTCCTGTTGAATCTAACTTGCACGCAAAGAAACCGAGGAAGCTAAATGGCGTGACTGATCTTAGTCTCCAATCCAAGACGCCCAGGACAAGTAGCTCCATCCTTCTAATTGTTCTGGGCTCAAATATGTATTTGGCACCTTCTACCTGTATACATTAAATTACGATTGCGAATGAAGCACTGTCAAACGTACATAACTAACGACAAACTGAGTTAGCATAGGATTTAATCAATATATCCATTATTTATTTTTTATTAATATGAAACTTCATCAAGAATGTGCCTTTGATATCGTTTGATTACATGTTGCACTCAATTATGGACGTGACACACATGTAGGACATGTACCTGAAGGTCCAATAGAGACGGAACTAGAGGTTCCTCCATCTTTGCCGCTAAAGACAAGCACGCGACTGATAGAAGTTGCAGTGGCCACCCATTATTTGTTTGCTGTGAACATATTTATACACATCAAAAAGTAAGAAGTACATAATAATCAAAGTATCAAACTAGTTTATATATATCAAACAGTAAGTTAAAAAAGGTAATTATCATCTTTATCACTAGTACACTACTGACAATCAAACTTTCCGGGACTTATTACCACGTGCATTGCACGTAGTTAGAAAGAGAACTAAGCAAAGGCAAGATGGAAAAACATCACATTATATTTTGTTATCATTGTCACTATTATTACTGGTTAAAATTTATTACAACTCATAAAATTAATTATTAGTCAATTTTACATGATCTTATGATATTTAATAATTTTCAATAAATAATAAAAAATGTTAGAAAAATATAAAAGTATAATATAAATATACTACTTTCACTTACACAACCAAACATTGTGGCGCATTATATATTAGTATAACAGATTCTAAAGGAATTAAATTTATTGCACATAATAGTCACGTATAGTATTCGTACGTAACGTAACTAACAACTTAACCAAAAAAAGTAGTCAAATGTCCGTACTGTATATGGATACGACGCTGTACGAATATACATATTTAAATGGCATTTAAATTACAAAATTATTAAAAAATGATTTTAATGTAATAATGCACCGTGGACATTTTGGCTTCACATTAGAAAAGTCATACATAATTACTGCATAGAATTTTCTTCTCACACGCGCTTGTGTGACACTAATAACAATCATTCAGTTTCTCAAATTCACCTTCTAGGTTTCCAATTATCTATTTTCTATTAATTTTAACTTATATTTTCTCAAATCGAACTTCACAGAACTCACCGGCAACGGCCGAGAGTTCAAGAACCGATCCATGTAATTGACGGAAAGATAAGCCGTGAGCGGTTGAAAAGCGTAATAAGCCTGCACCTGTAACCAGCGGATTATAACAGATTCCCATGAAAAACCAGAAGAATAAAAAACAAAAAAGATCTATAAGCTGAACAGTTTTTGTGAGAGAAGGTTACGACCAGCGCATTTTAGCACCGTCCTGTTGGGTATTGCTCACGCGTGGCAAAATGGTAATATGAATGTAACAGAGTGTCCGATTATGAGTGATTATGAAAAAAACGGTTAGTGCCGGAGATTTAAGAGTTACCTTGAGAATCCATGCAACGGATTCTTCTCTGGCGGTGGCGTCGAGCGAGCGAGACTGGAACCTTGTGAGGTAATCAAATCCGGGAACGAAGTTTCGCTCGTCTTCGATGAATCCGGCTATAGACTCCTCCTCCGACGGCGGCGAGGAATCGAGGTCAGAGGAACATTCCGGCGAATCGCCGGAGGACAATATTCCGGAGGTGTCCTCGCCGCAGAGAAGGAAGGAGTCGGGGAAGCAGTTGGAGAAGGATACCGACATGGCGATCGGCGGCGGCTCATTCTGTTGCCATGGCTCGGGATGAGAGTCACCGGAAAGCGATCGGAAAAGTCGCCGGAACGGTGAGTTGCAGTGAGAGTGGCGAGGGAGAGAGAATAGTTGTTGATGAAAGATAGAAGTAGGCTCTTCATCCCTTTGTTTGAATATAAATATGCGATTGCTGGGTCATTTGTATTTTCATCAGATAAAACTTTGGTTTATTTGATTAAAAAGTGTATCTCGTTAACTTATGAGAAACACACTTGAAAAATAAAATTAAACCAATTAAACACTGAATAATTTCTATTAAAAATATATGACAATATTTTAAAAAGGTTTTTATATGTGTTGTAAATTTAATAACAAAGGTACAAGGAAGTTAATCTAAATTTTTCCATTTTCAAATAGGTTAGGAGTATGGAGTTTTGTGTTAGACAAAACTTAGGTGTGAATTTTCCAATTTTGGCCTGAAATGTTTAAGCGCGTTTGCACAAGGGTTTAGCATTTATTTTTATTTTTATTTTTTGTACTGGTTTGACATATATTATATATAAAATACAATAAATAATAGAGTTCTAGATAGTACATACAAACTACATTAGTACAGGCCTTCAACCAAATCTCGTCTCTTCTTTTATATAAAATAAATTAATAAATTTTGAATTATTTAGTCGAGCATACCAGTACAAAACTGACCCTAATAATTTTACATTTCACTAAAGGATGTTAAATGGACGTGAGAAAGAAAAACAAATTAATTAATTTAAAAAATGAGATAAATCAGTTACCGTTCAAAAATAATAAAAGAAATAGATTAAGTCAAATTGTGTGATATAATCCTCTCTTGTAGTAGAAATTAGTCTAATTTAAATTCACTTAAGTGAATATTACATAAACATGAAATTTTGTAAATTTATTTAAATATATTTTTCAATTTTTATGTTTCATAAAATTTGTCCACTACTAAATCTGGTATTTTCTTGTTCACTTGTCTTTCTTTTTATGAGAAGCTTATCTCTTCAATAACAAATTTTCAGGTTCTATGCCATATACGTGCTTGGGGTGAACTAAAATAGACAAACCAAAAAAGAAAGACAATGAAAAAGCTCTTGTTTTTGTTTGCTGCACAAAAAAGTTTTTAATTTTTCTAAATGAAAAAATGTGTCTCAGAAGAGATATAAATAAAATAAGTCTGACTTTACATAAATAGATCTGACTTGATATTTTTTAAAGTTTAATTTATTCCATTAATTTTTTTAACAACTTATTTGTATTAAGACACTTAATATATTCTTAAGTTTTTTTATAAATAGATTATTAAACTATTTAAATAGGTATGTCTTTTTATAAGTCATATAACTTATATCTAAATAAACTATTAAATAAATAATTTAATACCTTAAATATATATAATAAAATTATATATTTTTATAAAAAAATAATAAAATAAACATCAATTTATAAATCAAGTAAATTTAGTAATATAAACTCTTATACATTAAATTAACAAATATAATATAATTAAATAAATTTTAGACCTAAAATTAGTAAATACAATAAACAAAAATTTAAAATACACAAATAATAATTATTATATTATAAATTTTTATATAAAATTATTTAATATATTATTATAAAATTTATGAATTTTAAATAGACTATGCTAATAGGTTTAATAAAATTTTTATTAAGTTTAAACTTAGTCTATTTAATTAATTAAGTTTTTAAAAAATTTAAATTAAACCTATTAATTAATTAGAATAGGTCAGACCAAGCTTTGAAAAGGTTAGGTCATAGGCCTGAAGACCTAACCTATTTTTATCTCTACTCATCAATTATTCAAAATATAAAATTCACTTAAGCTAATTAAATTAACTTAAATAAATTTACAAAATTCTACTTAAATTTATTATTTTTTTTTATTTTTATTTAAATAAATTTAAGCTTAACTACTTAATTTCTACTACAATAAGAAAAATTCATATCCCAAATTATGTCATAGAGAAAAGATGTTAACTTTTAAGAGAGTAGTAGAAAATCTAGTTATATTTAAACTCTAAAGTTTGTTTTAAATATTTTTTAATATTTTTTATAATATTTTAATTTTAATTATTTTTTTCAAAATTAATTAATTTACTCATTAATTAGAAATGTGCCATTTTTATATGTGTCATTTTATGTTGAATCGTGTTATTGAGAGGGAGAAAAGTATTAACTTTAGAAGATTAAGGACTACAATTAAAAAAAAACAATAGAGATCAAAATTATAATATCATAAAAATACAAGGATTTAAAACATATTTAAATTTTAAACTTTATTGTAATAATTATTTTTAGTTTTTTCTAAAATATTAATTTTAGATAAATTAAGTTGTTTATTCTTAAAACTTTGTAATTTTTTAGTTTATAATTTATTTATTTTTAAATAATTTTTGGTTGATAATTTTTATATATGTACACTTTATTATTATTTAAATTTAAATATTTTATATATTTTTTATTAATTTTTGCAAATTAATAATGCATCACACCTCCATTGTATATTTTGTTAATTATTGGATAATTGTTTTTAGTAAGATACTTGATATAAATAATTATAAAATATAAGAAATTAAAACTAAAAAAATTTGAAATTACACATATATTAAAATATAAACATTTAAATATTTAAAAATAATTAAACCAAAAATATATGACAAGAGACTCATTTAAAAAATTTTAAAACAAGAGAATATATTTAAAAAAATAATAAATTTTTAAAGAACAGATACTTAGTTAACGCATTATATTTCAATCGTATTTTAGAGGAAATTATTGATGTCATAAAAGGTGTCGTTTGATAAGATTTAAAGAATAAATTTACATTTTTTTTAAATTTCAAATTAAATATTTAAGAATATTTTTTAAAAAAAAAGAACGGTACAGGAAACATTTTAACTTGTGTCTAGTGGGAATATTAGAGCATATTTTTAAGGTACTGATTTTTAAAATAAATTAATAATTATTCATTAAAAACAACTAATTATGTATAAATACAAAAAAAATTAAATAATTACAATTTTATGATAGCATTCATTTTTTAAGCGATGTTTAAAAATGTTCTTTAAGAAGATAAACTTAAAAATTAAGTATTTGTTTACTCAAAAAATTGAAAAAAATAAAATATTTATGATATATCTACACGTATTCTGTTATAACGAACATTTAATTTTTTTCAAATACGCCGTCCCTTTTTAAATCAAAGTTAAATAGAATATTCAATAAAATATAATATACATGCAATATTATAAATATTTTATATTATTTTTAAATTAAAAAATCATTTTAATATTTCACATTAACTTCACACACACATATATATATATATATATATATATATATATATATATATAGTTTAGATCAAATGTTAATTATAATTAAAAACACTAGTAAAACTTATACTATCATACATTAATTTAATTATTACAAATAATAAAGACAACAGCATGGTGTCCATTCCACCACGTGATGTCACGTGGTTATTCATTTCATAGTGGGGACGAAATTTGAAGTTTCAGAAAAAGAAAAAATTGTCATGTTTATACAAAATATTTGATTAATAATATTTTTTATATGTATTTTAAATTTGAATAAATTATAATATAGATATATTATTAAATAATGATAAAATTGTGTTCAATATTTTTAAAAATCTATAGTATGAAATACATTTATTTCTAAAATAAATTTATTTTGAACGTTAATATCCGTCTTTAAATAAATTCCTAAAATTAATCTTTAAATTGACAAATCTTTAATGCTATTTCATTAGTTGCTAATAGTTAGCAATTAATAATTTAGCAAAGAAAAAATTAATCTAACTTAAATGGTGAACAATTTTCTTTTAGTATCCAAAAAATTAATAACTAACAACTAATTTTGTAATAATAATGTCAAATTACATAGATATTCTACTTTGATGTGTTGATAAAGTGTTAGATTTTGAGCGATAACAAAGTTATTATTAAACTGAAGTGAAGATGGTAAGTAGGAAAAAATCTTCTGCGGTATTATCGTTGAAATTCATAATTTTTTTAAATAATAAATATTAAAATTGAAACTATATGTACAGTAAAAAAAGTCTCACCGAAAAAGATTTAAAAATGAAAAAACAATGTTAAAGAATAAATTGAAATAAACTTAAGTTTAAAATACTTGTTTACAAAAGAAGAAAAAACTTATAAATTAAAATCTATTTTCTTGTCTAAAATATCATGAAATTATTTTTACGTCTTACATAAACATTTTCTAAGGATCTTTGTGTATTGTTAATAAAAAAAATTTAGTTCAATTAAAATTATTTTGCTTCATGAGTATTTTGTACTTTATAAAATCTTAATTGTGAAATTGAGTTTGATTAACAAAACTAAGAATCAAACAAATGATAAATCTCCACGTTAAGTGATTAAATAAAACTTGATATTAGATGAGTCCTACGTAGATGTTAACTTATTTTGAAAATGTTAAATTGAAAAATATAGTTATTTTGACCACTGAAAAATGCCTTTTCTTTTCATTTCAAAATACCTTTTTACTCTTATCCTGTAAACAAGAAAATAATCTCAAAATAACTCTAGGTGTTAAAATATAATCTTTTTGAACACCATTTTTTCATACATATAAATTTTAAAACAAAATATACATCGTAAATTTATTTTTTTTGCATTACAAATCTGTTGTTTGAAATCATTTTACTGTATAATACAAAGTTTAGGTTATTTTTTTTTATTTTTTTGAAATGGTTTAATTTCCATTTTGAAAAAATAAAAGAGAATAATTATTCATATATTTAGCTTTTATTATTCCATCAACCATATATATATATTGAGTTTTTTATTTGTTTTAAATTATTTATTGTTTTAAAATATTAGAAAACAATATTTTTTAATATTTTTTATTTATTGAAAATATATTAATTAGTTATTATAGTATTTTAAATATTATTTTAGGATTAATTATTGTAAAATAATTATAGCAATAACTTTAATATTTAAATATTTTTATCATATGAATACTAAAATTAATTATTTTTTAAATATATATTAATATGAAATTAATTAGTATAAGATTTTAGTGAGTTACAAGTTAAAATTGAATTTTGTTTTGTTTATTGATTAATTAAAAACCTTGATTAAAAATGCGCATGGTCGTTTCCTTGAATTGACAAAATCGTTTTTGGGCTTTGCAGCGGAATTATGCATGTATTGTAGAGTCACAAGGCTGAATAATGATTGACAAAATCTCTACTGTACTGTTGTCTCAATGCATCGGAATTCGGAAAACCGTTTTTGTGGGACCATTTAAAAAAAACCTATTAAATAGTGACATAAATTTAAAACTTATTTAAAAATCTATAATTTATTGTTATTAAAAATAACTTAATAAATTTATTTTATTTATTATAATTTTGTCGTTTGATAACCTATTCATTATCTTTAGAAAATTCATAATGTATACTTATTAAAAAATAGGTAAAACATTAAAGGTGTTTGATTACTAGAAGATAGTTTTATTTTTATCAAATTAAAATTTTTGAATCCTCTTATAAGTGAAAAATAAATTATCTACTAAAGTTTTATAAAATTTAAATGAAAAATTATAAAAATAATGAAATGAATTAACTCATTTATTACTTGTTTTTTACTCATAAATATTTATTAAAATGTTTCTTCAAACTAAACCTCAAATTATAAAATATTCATGAGTTAAATAAATTCAACTCAATTTAACTCAAATTAAAATTAACAGAGTTAGATAATTGAGTCTTAAAGTTAGACCTGATCAGTTTTGGTTTTCGATACTCATTATCTTTACAATTCAATAAACTTCACTTAATTTTATTATATATATAATTAAAATATTTACAATACTTATATTTTAATATTTTGATGTATATTAAGTGATTTTTATAAATATTTTATTATTTGAGTATAAATTACAATTTTTATATAAATATTAAAAGATTTTTAATTTAATTAGATAACTATGTAATATTATAGATTGCATTATTTTATAGACCTTATTTCTTGACTTGAAGCAATTTCTTTACAATTGAATTGGGTTAGGTAAAATGATATATTACGAAATTTGACCTAACTCAACTTATTATATTTTAATCATATAAAGTAATATTTTTTTTGTCATCCAACCTGAACACTTCTAATGGTGACAAATAAAACATGCATATCATCATTATTGCTTTATGCTAAGTGAGTCTTGTTATCTTATTAAAAATTATATTAAGTTTGTGGTTCATGATGGAAGTATAAGAAAATTTGGTCATTATATCATTTGTATTTATTATTTTTATTTTATTATAATAATTAAATATTTTTATTTGATTAAATTCATTTCTCTTTCTCTATATATGTAGACATATAATCTATTCTGAAAATAGTTGAGATGAAAATGAAAATATACTTATTATAGGGTAAAAGTGAAAATAAAATAATAAATCTTTGTAAAAAACTTTATGAATCATTTTTATAACAGTGAATACGCTTAAGTGTGTTTTCAATGAAAAATATAGTCATTAATTTTGTTTTCATTGATTTAATGGATTTTTATCTCATAAAAATTAAATCATTGATATTATAATTGTAGGTTTACGTTAATAATGTTATATATCACCCTAATAAATGATTTTGTTGATAAAATAAATTTATACATACTTCTGGTTCATCATATGAATATTATATCATTAACATGAATTTTTATTATCTATATTAATTGAGAGAAACTGTTATATGATTTGTAAATATGAAAAAAGAGCGTGCATGTTATTGATAATTAATTAAATCTCTGTGCTATAGTCTGATACAATTTACCCCATTTAGATTAAAACATTGTCATGATTTTTACTCAATACAATTTTCTCAATATTCATCATTAGAAGTTAGCCTGATTTGATTGGAGAAACATAATAAATAGAAAATGAATAGCCTTTCTTGTGAATATATAATAATTTTCATCAAGGTGATGTCGTGCATTTATCTTTATCTTTTTTCCTTTACCTTAATTTCTTTTACCATTTATTTATTTATGGTTATCAATGCCAATATTCACGAGCTATATATTGAAAAGGTTTATAATATTCTAAAAAAGAAAAGTTGCAAGGTCTCTTTATTTTTCTTGTATATACAGTGCTTTTCATCAAGAAAATCTTATGGATTTTTCTTTATTTTTCCGACATAGCAGCATTGCAGTCTCTTTTTGGATAGAGTTTATGAAATGAGCTATTCAATTAATTTGCGACATATTATGAATAACAATATAATTCAAAAATTTGAAAAAATTTAAATATAAAAAAATAAATGTTTTCTCAGAAGACAGCTTCTAGCTAAGCCTGCCGATTACTTGAAATTGCTAAGTGGGAACATCATTTTCAATGCTGTTTTCTTTCCTCTATTTTTTATTTTTCGAATTTTATTTATTTTCAATAAAATCTTATTATTTTAATTTTTTTAGTATCTTGAAGGATGGTATCAACATCTTTTAATGGTGGATTAAGAGAAAACTAAGAAAATGAAATCTTAAATTGAGTGAGATTTTGAGATGAATGCAGTTGAGTCTGGTAAATGTGCTTTGGGATTTTGGTATTAGTTCCTATCTAAAAGGCTTGAAAAAATATCCATACAAGGACCCATTATATACTTTAAACTTACGGTCGGCGACGTTAGATTGAGACACTCTCTTTATCTATCGCTTCTAATTTTAATTTTGATGCTGATGAGTTAGTGGGGTTTAATTCTGTATTATTACAAATCTAATGCTAAGTGTTTTAGACATTGCTAGGCTATTGAATGTCAAACTCACATTATGATTTTCTTTAGCATGATTAAGGTTTGGCCATTTGATTGTTGTTTCGATTAATTATAAGAATGTTGTATCTTGTCTTGAGATATATGAACCTTTTTCCCCCTTTCAAAGATGCAAGATACACAAATTCAACCTAAATGCTTAATTTACGCTGTAGATTGATGCACCTATAGGTCTCAGACTCTTATCCACTAAAAGTAAACACCAGCTCTATCCTTCTATTTTTTATATTTTAATGACACTTTGTAGAAATTAACTTGGTCATTATTTTTGTTTCTATATTTTCTTCCATTTATGGGGTACAACTGGCATGGATCAACTATTAATCTCAAAGCTAGGATCCACCACGCACAAGCCTAAAAAGTGCAAATTAAACCAAATATTTCAAGAAAAAATATTGTATATACATAAAACATGTTGAGAAAAATTGTGTTTAATTCAGTTTATTTTAAAAAATAATTGCTTTTTTTAATAATTTTTTAAGATAGTTTTTCAAAAAATAAATAAACATTTCCCAAAATATAATTGCATTCAATATGTACTACATATTTTCTGAATGTCGTCTTCAATCAATATATATATTTTCTCTTTTGTGGACATTGGCACAGTGAATATATACTCATTGAACACAAATCAATGAATCGATCCCGTACATTCGATTTTTTTTACACAAAAAAGGAAAGAAATATATGACACAATTTAAGAAGATCCGCAGTATGCACTGCAATAGACTAACTAGTCAAATTGCCATGGTTAGAATCCTTTCCCTTAACTTCCCATTAAAGTGAACTAAATGAAGTTGAAGTAATTTAACAATGGTTTATGGTACAAGTTTAATAATGTATGATATGTCACATAGCATAACCAACCTGGACGGAAAAGGGAAACTTAGTTAATCAATTCAAACTTTGCATCATCTGAAATTTGAGTTGAAGGTTGAGGTTTTGCAGAAAGGTACATGGAATTGTCTACTAGTACTACAAAACAAAGCTCAAGTGGGCTCCCTATTTTCTGGGATTCTTAATCTCCACCATTGACCCATAATTTGCAACAATATAATTCAACCCAATAAAACACACATATATAAAGATTGATGGAAAACTCCACCTAACTGAAATACATATATATCCCTCAATACATGAATAATAGCCCGAACGCCCCCACAAAGCTGCATAATTTGCGTGTATATATGGTGTCACGTATGCTTGTCGCTGTTTAACATGCGAAAAGGTTAACTGTCCAAGTTTTCTATTCATTTTGATGTATGTGTTTAGGTTTCCTAAGATGATGGCAGGTTGAGATAATGCATGAAAAGAATTATTACTTGCCTAATGTTTGATAAATCAAATCAAGATAAAGGGGGGTTCATTATTAATTCAAGCAAGACATGAGACATGGACCAGGATAGTGTTTGGTAGGGAGCAAAAGATTGTATGAGAGTTCGTATGGTATCAGCCGACAGAGATGCATGGCTGTTATGTGATAAAATGTTGTGAGAGTGTATTTATGATGAGAAAATGGAAAATTGAAGCCATGTGCGAATGGACAGACACAGAGATTTGAAGAGTAGATAGCTATATATAGAGTTAGATGTAGCTGGGAATGAGCATGTGATCAAAAGGGGTAGGCTATAATGCTGGCAAAGATTGAAGTCAAGATGGCGGTTATTGGGAGCACTGAGAAAGACATGTGGTGGAATCATCAATATCCTTATCATTTTCATGTTGATTAAATTATGTGTGTGTGCAAATAATTGTGCTGCCATCAGTGAAACAATCCTTGGTGCTTCATTTTTGTCTACCTACGAAAACTGTACATGCCTAAGAAAATTGTTCAATATGACCACATTCAATTGCTATTTAATGGGCTTCTTGAGAAAATAATCATTTTTTTTTTTTGTAAATTATGAGAAAAAAAAGCCCAAATTTGATGAAAAGCAAAAAAAGAAAGGAAATGGCGTCGCCCGGACTCGAACCGGAGACCTTCAGTGTGTTAGACTGACGTGATAACCAACTACACCACGACACCTTGATGGTCTTGTTTTTGAGAGTTTACATTTATTAATAAAATAATATTTAGAAGTTGCAAACGTTTTTATGTGACACGGGGGGTGACGAAGAAGCTAAGAGGTAGAAGAATGCTCCATTCAGCTGCATTCCCGGCACCGTACAGTTCGGTGCCGGTTCTCACTCGCGCACACACGTGTCGCTCTCTTGCAATTGTCGTTCATTGTCATTCTTCTTTCGTTTCGCGGCTCGGGTTCCGGCAAGTCCTCGGGAACCGGGGCGCCGTGCGCGGCGGAGGGTTTGTCGCCGCCGCCAGAAAGAATAAAAGGCACGGCAGCGCTGGGTTCGTGGGAATGGAGGATGATATCGACGATGACGAGGACGATTTTGATGATGAATACGATGAAGGTGAAGAAGATGATGAGGGTATGCTTCCGTTGGAGAAGATGGATAAATGGTTCAAGAAGAGGCCAAAGGGTTTTGGTGAAGGAAAAGTTTATGACACTTCGGTTGAGGATAAGCTGCTTGACGAAATGCGGCAAAGTAGAATAGCTCAGGCTGAAAATTTGAAGAAGCTTAAGAGCAACCCTGGGAAGCATGCTTCCAACACAAGTGATCAAAAGAGGAAAGGTTAACCGATAAAAAAAAAATTTAATTAATTTTTGTTTTTGGGTTTTACCGTGTTCCAAATAGGTCAAAGTTGATTCCTTTAAGCTTTGTTCAGGGAAGGAAAGTGTTTGAGGGGTAAGGAGCGTTAATGAAAAATCTTCCAGTTTGGGGACATCAAAATATGAGTTTAGGATGATTTTGTAGGTTTTATAAAACGTGTGTTAGGCTTTTGGATGAATATGAAAGCAATGTCTCAAACTATTGATATGCAAAGCTTTTACTTTTCATTGAATTTTGACTATATCTGCTGCCATGGAACTTAGCAGAGGCAGAAGTCTTTCCAATTGGAGTTCGAGTGCGCTTGGTGAATCTACCGAAGAAAAAGAACATCCATAGGGACCTGAAATCTGCTTTGCAAGGGATTCCGGGCATAGTTAATATAGTCCCAGCTGTTACTGGGAACAAGAAGACAAGGGACCCAATCTGCAAGGGTTTTGCTTTTATTGATTTCAGGCATGAAGAAGATGCAGTTAGGTGTGTTCTAACCTCAATCTTCTGCTTGCTTCCAAAACCCAACCCCAAGAAAAATAATAATGAAAAGTAGGGGAAGAGTAAGTTTAGTCTCATGCAGTGCGTGACATTGTTGTAATGAGACATATGTCTGGATAGAGATTTTTTCATGAATTTTGAGCCTTTTCACGCAGAGGACTCTAATCCTACTTAAAAGTACCCCCTTTTATTTTTCATCGTGAAAATCTGTGAAAGTAGTAAAAGATAGTTTGCTTCACTTGGATAATTGATTCAAGCTTTTTCATTCTAAAGTGAGACGAGTGCATATGTGTAGCATAGGAATCTTTTCAATTTTGATTATTCTGGTTTTGTTATTGAATGAGTTTGCTGCTGGTACACAATGTTTGAGTTGTTTTTACTGTGCTAGTATCTCACTCACTCCATTCTTGTCTTCTATCACACTCTCAGGTTTGTAGAGTTATACAGTGGACAAACTATCACTTTTGGTAAAATTCAGAAGCAGATAAAATGTGAGCTTCTAAATGCCGAGTCTTCCTCTTCTTCTCTGAACTTAAGCGAAAGCCTCGGTGCTCCTCCAGAGCTCATGGGCTCTGCCTTCGTAGACGATTCTAATGAGGATTCTAATATAGATGATTCTGCCCTCAGTTCCTGGGTTGGGACTAATTCAGATGATTTGGATGGCCTGGAAAATGAGGTGTATTATGGAGAAGAACAGGAAGATGATGGAGATAATCAAGGGTCTGTCACTGATTTGAGGGTGGATAGTGATGATAGTGCGGAAATGAGGATTGATCATGAAATTAATTTGCCTACATCGGAGCAGGTTGACAGAAACCCCCCAGCTGAGCAGAAGTCATCAGCCAAGGTTAAACAAGAGAATGCACGTAAGAAAAAATCAACTTCCAAAGAGAAAGCAAAAAAGGTTTTAGATGTTCCTGGATCTGCAAAAAGGTGATTTCCCTGTGGATTTTACACTGCTTTAGCATACTTTGCAGGGTTTGTGTTCTTTTCTCATGTAAACTTCTTTGATTCTGGTGCAGGTTAAAGATCAGGGAGAAGGCTGTATTAAGTGATGTTTTCTCCAAGTATGGATTAAAAACATCCCTTGCTTCAAAAGATAAATAGTAAATTGCTAATGAGCTTAAATTGCCGAAGTCTAAACCATCACGTTACATGCAATGTGGACTTTCCAGTTGGCCATGGAGCCCTGTTTTTGATGTTTTTGATTCAGTGTACACTCAAATTGTAGGGTAGGAGTATTATAAAAAAAAATGGCATCCTATATTATTAATTTTATGAATATCAGAGCATTCTTTCGTAGTGTTCTCAATTCATGGGTAGGAATTGGAGTGTTTATTCATTTTTGAGTTTAAATGTAAAGAAGTATTAGTAAATTATTCAAGTTTTACTATTTAAATATTTAGTCAAATTATTTGTTTATTCAAATGGATAAGTTTTTGCTTAAATTAATAGTTTAATTATAAACGTAAGTTAAATTTAAGTTTCATTTGTTGGCCATTAATAATAAAATTATATAAATGAGTACCGAACGTTGAAAATTTTTAACTAATAATATTTAGATATGTGTTTAAATAATATATTTATTTAATAATAAAGTATTATATTTATATTAAAATTAAACAAATTAAAATTTAAAAATAAAATAAAATATTTTATTAATATATTTATTATTTTCTTAATTTTATTATTATATTAATATATTATATTATAAATTTTTTATTTATAATAAATTGTATTATATTTAAAATTAAAAATATTTATACATGCGTCTAAATAATAAATTTATTCAATAATAAATTATTATATTTACTAGATTTAAACAAGTTAAATAATAATTAAGTATTTGAACAAAAATAAAATACAATCAAAATTAAATAAATTAAAAGATAAAAATGAAATAACATTATATTAATATATTTTTTATATTCTTAATTTTATTATTATTAATATTTAATTATTTAATTATTATATTGATATATTATATTATAATTTTTTTATTTATAATAAATAAAAATTGTTTAAATATGAATTATATTTTATTTAAAATTAAAAATTTATAAAAAATAATAAAAATAAAATAAAAAATTTAATATAATAATATCATGTAATAAATAATATAATTTTAAATAAATTATATATAATAATATTTTTTTAACTTGATACGTGACTCTTTTTTATTGATATATATTTTTTTGAGTACAGTCTAATAAAAAAAATTTAAAATACCACAGCACATACATTTAAGTTTACAAATAATTTGTATTAATATATTATTATATTTTGGTTCTTATTTATCTAGCCTAAGAAAGAAGAAGAAATTTGTTTAAATTTATCTATTAAAAGTTTAAGAACACATTAATTGGTATTTTTTCACTAATATGCTTTTATTCATATCCAGCATTTATTGTCAAAAGAAAATTTACTAACAAAAGATACATTAGGAAGCTTAACAATTAAACTTTAATAAGATGAATATATTTCATGGTTTGTGTAATTTCTTCTCTTTTAAAATAACTAAATAGGAGTAGAGGTAGTAAATAATTGTGGCTTGGTTGGTGAAATTATATCTCTTCTTACTAAAGCGTGTTGTTAAAGTACATTTTATTTTTGTGGATGATAGTAATACAAAGGATATCAAAATTATTAATCTTGATACTTTTCACTTCAAAGGGAAATTTTGTCGAGAGAAGTAGAAAAAATATTAATTATTGAAGAATTTAAGTATATTTGCGTTAAAAATACATGAAATTTTTAAAAATAATTTCACGAGATATAGTTGAGACATAAAAATGAATTTTCAAAAGATTTTCTGCATTGTTTTTCTAATATACAATGAGTCAATATATACATTGGTATTTTATGGAAGAAAAATGTTCGTACAATTTTTTTTTAATTGTGAATATCACAATTTTTTACTTTATTTTTTTTTTCTATTATTCACTTTATCTTTTGGTATAAAAACTTTGGCTAAAAATATTATTACTGATATCACTTTAAGACAAATGCAACTTAATATCTTAGGTATATTGGTCAATTTTTTAAAAAATTATTAAAAATATAACAATACTCTTTTTTTATGATTTTTAACGTATTCTTCACATGTTTATTAATTTTTTAGTTAATATCATTAAAATATTAACCCTTACTTTAATTTTTAAAAGTTCCATTTGTACTAATAAATTTTTAAATTTGTTAACTAACTAATAAGTTTGTTTATTTATTTAGATTATGTTAATAAATATATTTGTTTAATAATTAAAAATAATAATTTTAAGGCGGTAGAGTAATTCAGTTTTTTGGAGTTAAACAGACAAGGTGGAAGGAAGGTTGAAGTTTCTTGAGAACTGTGAAACACACAGAGCGCAAGAAGAAGATGAATATTACGATCAAGAGAGGACTCGTAAGCTTAACGAACAGAGCCTCGTGTTATTCCTTGCGTCGCTTGTTCTGTTCCCGCACTGCTGCTGACGTGGACATCCCCACTTTGCTTCAGCCCAGAGTAGTAATATACGACGGCGTTTGCCGCCTCTGCCACCGAGGTATCTTCGTTATTCACCACCGTTACTCTCTTTCCACCGTTGCCTTTTTAAGATATATCTAAAATGCGTGACCACGATTGTTCTAGATCTTTCTTGAATCTCCTTGTGCTTCTTTCCATACTATTGTGCAATGGATTTTTCTTTGTGCGTTTTTATTCCTTTGGATTTTTCAGCATTTTGTTTCTTTCCTGGCATCACTTAATGGTTACTCTTCTGTGCTTTCAATAATGGTTTAATTTATATTATTTGTTGAGGATGTGTTCAGTTGTGTGAAGGAAATTAGGAAACTGCCTCTGTAATGTTGAATCTTTGATTCATGTTTATGCATAGTTTTAATTTCTGTAAAATCTGTAATTGGCATTTTACTGGGATATAATATAATTTTTATTGATGTTTTTAAAATATGGCATTGCTGGTATGCCAATGATTTTTGTATCTGTGCCAAAAAAAGTATGGGCAGAAAACAAGAACTAATTTCACTTTATTATGTTCTGGAGAATAGATTGAGTTATCATAGCTTATTCTGTTTAATCCTTTTAATTATCCTATTCCATTGTTTCATACATTGTTCCAGGTTTCTTTTATTTTTTTATATATTCCGTTTAATATCAGAGTAAAAATTTTAGTATATAACCTTGTTTTCGGTATTACATGTTTGACAATTCTCCACTGATAGGAGTAAAATGGGTAATCAGAGCAGATAAGGACAGAAAGATCAAATTCTGTTGCGTTCAGTCTAATACTGCTGGGCCTTACTTGAGAGCTTGTGGTCTTGAACAAGAGGATGTCCTCCGTCGCTTTTTGTTCGTTGAAGGCCTGAATGTATACTCGCAGGGATCTACTGGTTAGAATTCTTGCTCATTTGATTTACTTCAGTGGTATCCATTCTGTTGCTTTGCATTCTATTTTACTGCATAACTTTGGTTTGGGCATGCTTATGGACACATAAAGTTCTTAACATAATCTAGTAGATCTCTAGTAACATAGGAAGGAACAATCTGAGATGTTTAGGTCTTTGCACATGGATACTAAATATTGCTAATTCAATTTTGCATTGATAAATTTGTTACTATGTTGAATTGATCAAGTCAGAAATGTTCCACAATGTGTAGAAAGAGTGGCCTAATGCAAATGAGGCTCCTGCCATTGGGTGTAGTCTGGAGAATGTGAAATCTCTCAGATGTAAGCAGCCTTATATACTGTGTTTAAAACTAAAGCATGCTTGGAGTTATGGCATTGAATCTAATGATACTAATGAATCTAGAATTAAGAACAGTTTTCTTGGAATCAAGATTAAATTCTGGTTTTGAAGTGGATAGGCAATTTAGATCTGTGAAAGAATAGACATAGTTATTTAATTTTCAAAATAATATCTAACTGAACTGTAAAGCATTTTGTTTTGTTGGAACCAACTCAAGTCGGAATTGTGGTTCACATTCTTTTGTCCAAAGTAAAATTCCAAATATTGATGACAATTCTCATCTTCAAGTACTTTTATCAGTTTATGGACTCTCACTTTTACTCTCCACCTTGGAACATTTTAAAAGTTGTATTTGTTTCTCAAAACTTGTAAGTTTACTGGTAAAGTCCATATTCTGCCATGTTGTATGATGAGCAAGCTCTTAATGTAAATGTAGTGACCTTGCCAATGGCATCTGCATCATGTTTAGGATTCATTTCAGAATGAATATTTAAATTAATATACAACACAGATGAGCATTTGTCAATTATATTTTCACCATTCTCTTCTGCTTTCCATGTGATGCTGTGTGCCAATCTCATTGTAACTTGTGATTCTGCAGCTGCATTGCGAGTACTGTCATACTTGCCACTACCTTACTCTGCTTTAAGCTCACTCTGGGTGATTCCAACTCCACTCAGGGATGCTGTCTATGATTACGTGGCAAAACAAAGATATGAATGGTTTGGTAAGGCTGAAGAATGTTTGGTTTTGAAAGAGAAAGAGCTACTCGAGCGTTTCATAGATAGGGATGAAATTTTGAGTCAAGGTCAAGATTCATAGTTTTTTAGCTGCTACTTCAAGCTATCAGCCACAATTTTCACTTACTGTTCAGCTTCTTCTTTTCTGCTATCTGGTTGTCTTTTCTACAGCGCTAGATTGTAAATTTGAAGTGTTTCCACAAACAGCGTCCTTAACCTAAAATCACTCACCCCTCTTTCAAATTACAATTTTTTCAGTATATTTTGGAATGCCATTCTTGAGAATTACATAAATAGCAATATGGAGTGTAGATATGTCATTCCTCATAACTGCAGCTTTTTAGATGTTGTGTCACAAATTGATACAAATGGTGTTATTCATATACCACATTTTAATGCTTCATTTTACACCTTTTGCTTCAGGGAGAAAAAAGGAGAATGTTGTAACTTGTACCGCACCAAAAGGGCATAGTTGTAGAATTTGATGTTTGAAATATGAAATAGCATTACTCTATTTTATCCAAATGCAAAATTGCAGCGAAAGCAATCTGCATCAAGAACAAGACGCATGTTTGAAGGAGTTATGGTGTCAAACTAAATGATGCACCGGGTAAGTTTGATCCTTCATTTCACGTATTTTCAACCGTTATAACCCGTTATTTTACATGTGTTGTTTCGTATAAAATATGGAAAAAGTAATTGAAATATAGTTTTCGTTATTACAAAAGATAACTAATAACATTTTTAATAATTGTAAAAGTATAGTCCAACAGAGCAAACAAGCTACCCAATGAAGATAGCTAGCAATAGAAATCTTAAACGAGACAGCAATTGGTAGAAGTCCGAGTTTACTTGGAACATGCACTTCTATCACAAAATTTGTTTCCAACACAAAACTATGTGCAGTTCACGAAAGATCGCACTAAACACCAACTATTATCAAAATCAACTATTTCTCACCAGAGTTTCAGTGGCACTCAAATATTAATTACTGAAGAATTGAAGTATATCTTTAAAATGAGCATAAATTTTAAGATATTACTACTTTTGATCTTTTTTATAAGAAATAAAAAATTAAATTTTTAAAACTAAAAAGAACAATTAAGTCACTTATATTTTTTATAAATATTAATTTTATTTCAAAAATATTTATGATATTAAATATTGTAGTTAATAATTTATACAATTAATAATATTAATAAAAGAAGAGTATAAAAGAAATTTAACAATTAATGTTTATTGAATTTATCATTTGGTTCTTATAATAAGATTAAGAAAATACTCTATTTTATTTTTTATAAAAAAGATCAGAAGGAGTATTTTATTTTTTTTATCTAATCAAATAGTATTTTTTTAATATTAGAAATGAATTTGAATTGGAATTATTAAAAAAATAAGACACATAAATATTAATTTTACTGTTTCTCTTTCTGTTCGGTCAATTTACTTGATTGTACCACCACTAAAAGTGTCGTATACTTTAAGAATAAAGGAGCTAAATAACGAATATCACATAAATAATTATCGACAATAATGAGGATAAATAAGGAATAATATAAACAATAGTAGTGTCTTTTTTTCTTTTTCTTTTTTTTCAGTTTTGCAAGTTATTTTTTTCCTCTACTTTCTTTATACTCTTAAATTATGCAAGACTTTATAATCTTATTTATTTCTCTTTTATTTTGATATTTTCTTTTTACATGCCAAACATGGTATTATTATTTTATATTGTAATGAAATATTAATATATACCCTTTTATATGTTTAAAATTATGTCCTGTATAAGTATGTGCCTTGCAAGGGTTGATTGAGTTAAAAATTAAAAGATTATGTTTCTGGAATGGTTGGAATATATGGAGTGATTGAGAATAAATTAAAAATTTTATATAAATATTAGTAGATTTTTAATTTAATTAGATAATTATTTAATATTATATATTGAACTTTATTATGCATAGACCTGATTTATTGACTGAAATCAATTTGTTCATAATCGAATTTAGTTAAAATGATATATCATGAAATTTGACCTAACTCAATTCATTATATTTTAATCATATAAAGTGTTTTTCTTTTTTTTTTTGGGTCATTCTGGACCAACTTAAATAGTGAACACTTCTAGTGGTGAGAGATAAAACATGCATATCACTATTATTGTTTTATGTTAAGTGAGTCATTTTATTAAAAAATATATTAAGTATGTGATTCATATGGAAATATAAGAGAATTTTGTCACTGTATCATTTATATTTATTATATTTATTTTTTATAATAATTAAATATTTTTATTTGATTAAATTCATTTCTCTTTCCCTCTATATATGTAGACATATAAACTATTCTTGAAAATAGTTGAGATGAAAATGAAAATAAACTTATTGTAGGGTAAAAGTGAAAATAAAAGGAAGGTAAAAAAAATTAAAAGTATTTTATTTTCTTTATAACAAACTTTATGAATCATTTTTATAACAGTGAATACGCTGATGTTTGTTTTCAATGAAAAAAAATAGTCATTAATTTTTTTCCATTGATTTAATTAATTTTTACCTAATAAAAATTAAATTATTGATATTAGAAGTGCAGGTTTATGTTAATAATATTATATATCACCCTAATAAATGATTTTATTAATAAAAGAAATTTATATATATTACTGGTGCATTTTATGAATATTATAATATTAACATAAATTTATATTATCTGTATTAATAATAATTTAATTTCTATTGAACATAAATTATATTAATAGTGACAAATTTAATGACTAACTTTTTTCCCCCATTTCAAAGATGCAGGATACACATAAATTATATTAATTTACGCTGCAGATTGATGCATCCATAGGTCCCAAACTGTTGTCCACTAAAAGTAAACACCAGCTCTATCCTTCTATTTTATACATTTTAATGAAATCAACTCTACACTTTGTAGAATATAACTTGGCATTATTTTTGCTTCTATATTTTCTCCCATTTATGTGGGACAACTGGCATTGATCAACTATTAATCTCAAGCTAGGATCCACCGTGCACAAGCCTAAAAAGTGCAAAACCAAATCTTTCAAGAAAATGTAATTTTGATTATTTTCTCTTTTGTGGGCATTGTTACAGTGAAAATGTAACTTAATGAACACAAATCAATGAATCGATCTCATACCTTTGATTTTTTTTACACAAAAAAGGAAAGAAATATATGGCACAAAATCTGAGAAGATTCGCAGAATGGTTAGAATCCTTTTCCTTAACTTCCCATTAAAGTGAACTAAATTTTAAACTGAAGTGATAACCCAAGATCCAGATATTATGCAATTTTGGTGAGAATTGCGCATTGCAGTATATTTTCACTTAAGCCAATTTTTTTGTTTAAGCGAAATTTGAAGTAAATTCACTTAAACTCAGAAAAAGGCTTAAGCAATAGGTTTGAAAATGCACCCAAGCGAGCTACAAGAAACTAGAAACAAGTCTCGCATAAGCCCAGAATTATGCTTAAGCAATTTGTATTTAGCTTAAGCCCGTCCAAACAAAAACAATTAAACTTAAGCAAAAATGGACTAGAGAGACATGTATTTCAATCACTCTTTTTGCTTTAGCGGATTATAAAGCGCTTAAGCTATTTTGGATTCGCTTAAGCTTTGACAAGTTATTTTGATTAATATTAAGCGAATTTGAGGCAAAGAGCAATAGTTTCAGGCATACAAAATGGCTTAAGCAAAAATGAATTGGCTTAAGCGAATGGTAGCAGGGCTTGAGCCCAAAATTTAATTTCCCTGCGAATGAAGATCCACTTAAGTGGTTTCCTGAGTTTAAGCGAATATATCAGAAATTGCAAAAATTATGCAGAAATAGACAATATGCAATAAAATGGCTTAAGCAAATGGTAGCAAGGCTTGAGCTCAGAATTTAATCCCCCACTTTATCAAGATTCGCTTAAGAGATTTCATGAGCTTAAACGAATAAATAAGAAAATTGCAAACATTATGCAGAAACAAACAACATGCAAGGGGGGCCAAATACACTGGATTACATCAGTTTTTCAATTTACAACTTCCACCAAAAACAGTTTATAAATATAAATTTAGCTTAGAAACAAAAGAACTTTTGCCAATTGCGTAATCAAATTTGATCAAAGATTTAAGCATTGGTATCATCAAGTTGTTCCTACAAAATTAAAAGAGATATAAGAAGACATATAATGAACAAGAATGGATGGAAAAAAAAAAACAAGAATGGATGGAAGTTGAATAGTCTTACCTTCAATAAATTTGTGAAACTTAATTGATTGACTAATGTTTAAGGGGAATCATAATATCGAGGTGCTGAATAATGTACTTGAAATGAATCATAGAGCTTGGTTGATATTCCTTAAACATTTAATGATAGTGAAATTTATGATATGGTTATAATAAGGAAGTTAGAATAAATGCATTAATTAACAATAAAAGTCATTATAACAAAGTACTTGAGATGCTGATTGACCTAAAGTCAGAGTTTTGTTCTCTTTTTTTCCTGCTTGTAGCTCAATTCAACCTTTGAATCTTTTACACCCTTTCCTCTTGGTAGTAGGTATATGCTTGAATCCTTTAGGTTGTGTACCATGAATATTGACCTTATTTACTCCATCATTGCTATTATTGTCATTATCTCGTGGTTGTAAGCGAATCTTTGTGATTTAACTGATTAAAGTATTAATATTATCATCTATTAATTGACAATATTCTTCTGAACTATAAACCTCAGAGGCCAACCTAATCATTTTACATGCTAGGTGTCGGTATCTGTGTGTAGTACTCAATTTAAGATCTCCTTCCACTTGTATTTCTTTTACATTGTGAATAATATCACAACGTTCTTGTGTTGTTCATCTCTTTAGTATGTATTTGTCAGTAACAACCTTTACATCATTGGCTTCAAACATTTTTAAAGCATGACAATAAAGTATGCCAAATGTTTCAAACTTTTTACAAGAGCAATTGATAGTATTTGAGGAACGATCAAATGTAATTATCCATGATTTTTGTTGATTGACTTTAGTAATTACATATTCAATCAAAGGGGGAGTTGCAATCCTTTGTGATATGCAACA